GCAGGTTCGGATCCTATATAGGAATGGCCGGTGCGCTCACTGGCTGAGCGCGGNTCAGCCAGTGAGTGCTGTGAGCGCACCGGTCATCCCTATATAGGATCCAAACCCGCGGCAGAAGCGCTGCTGCACTCCCAGTGCCACACTCTCCCGAGTGCGCCACTGGCTCGGCCCCAAACATCCTATTTTTGCTTAAATGTTTACATCAATAATTTTAGCATCCATCCATAAGCAATTATTACTTTGGTGTTACACACACACACGCAAGCACACACACCACTTACACCTAGACATATCATATTCAAACTGCAGAAAACAAACGATGAAGAGAAATTTTTGAAGGTAGCTAGGGAAAAAAGGAACATTCACAGGAACTAGACTAGAATTGTAGCAGACCTCACATCAGAAACCACACAAGTCAAAAGACAACAGTGTGACATCTTTAAAGTACTGCAATTAAAAAAAAAAACAACCTGTCAACACAGAATTATTATCTGTAAAAAAAAGACCTTTCAAAAATGGAGGAGAAACAAAGACTTTCTTAGACAAACAAACACTAAAGGACTTCACGGCCAGCAAACCTACCCTACAGGAAATGTTAAAGGGGCTGGCTGGGGGCCGAGCCCGTGGCACACTTGGGAGAGTGCAGCACTGGGAGCGCAGCGACACTCCCGCCGCAGGTTCGGATCCTATATAGGAATGGCCGGTGCGCTCACTGGCTGAGCGCGGTGTGGGCAACACCACACCAAGGGTTGCGATCCCCTTACCGGTCACAAAAAAGACAAAAAAAAAAGGGGGCTGGCTGGTTAGGTCAGCTGGTTAGAGTGAGGTGTTATAGCACCAAGGTCAAGGGTTTGGATGCCCTTACTGGCAGCTGACTGCCCAACCCCCCGCCAAAAAAAAAAAAAAGTTAAAGAAAATTCTTTTCTAAAACAGTGGGGGAGAAGGAAAAACTCTTCCATAAGAAGAATTCCAATTAATAAATGTGGAAGGAATTGGGGAAATAGAGAATTACCAGAACACCAAAACAAATAATTTCAAATTGATTATTAAACCACTGTCAAACTGAACCCTGGTTAACTTGTATGTAAAATAAGATCATTATTCCTTTTATTTCAGAAAAGATTAAAGTCAGCGTGAGGATAAGGGCCCTGCACTCTTCACAATGTGGTTATGAAGATCAAAATATTACAATTGTGAATGGGTAAGCCTTGAAATTATAAGATGCTAGCAAGATACAAGACATTATTACAGCTTTTCCAAAACATTTTACTACGTCAGACAGTTCAGCTGGCTCAGCTGATGCTGATACTGAAATGAAAGGAGTCAGAAGAACAGAATGTTTGGTTTGGTAGAAAACTATCAGCAAGAATGACACCATTTAATAATCCAGAAGCATTATTGAAACCCAGCATGGCAAGTGCTGGGCACTTGGTGCAGAAACAAAACAAAATCTTCCTCTGTTGGATGTAGATCCCTCCACCCACCAGCGTGTTGACCATCAGGGCCCACTGCCTATGCAGTTTCCAAGGGTCCCCAGTGCCTTCCCTGAGCATCACCTCATTTCATTCTCTCAACAGCTTTGTGAGGTAGTCGATGTTGTTACCATCTCCATATCAGAGATGCAAAGGGCCTGGGGCACAGTGAGGTTGACAGACTCGCCCCGCCTCTCCCACATTGGAAATATTGTGACTGGTGTCAAACCCAAGTGCTGATGCTGAGAACTGTTCTTCCCTATGCAGTTGGGATGGCCTTGGAAACTGTGCTGTACTTTGTTATTTGCATGTTGTTACCCAAAATGTGGGATGTGTGCCAATGATTTGGGTGGAACCTGAGATGATCTTAGGGGCCCTCAGGTGTGGAATTAACACTGAATCACATAATGAGAAAGCTATTCCCTTTCCAACTGTCTTCCAGTTCTTTTGGTTACACCACAGAGAAAGTCTCTGTTTGGTGCTAGTGTGTCTTTAACACCTTCCCTACACTTACTAATCTGTTTTTAACAGAGAGAGAAAAAGCCTCAGGCTTAGAGCCTTAATAAGAAACAGGATCTGTCTAGAATTTAATAACATAGTTTTATCTTCACTTTATTTTTACAATTACTCCATTTTCTATTTATAGCAAGTGATACCAGTCTTCCATTTAGTTACTATGACAAAGTCTCTTTTTAACACAAAACTAATTAAAAACTGAGTTGATTAAAATATGAAAAAACAAATATTAAGAAGATACTCTTCCAGGTAGTATGGAGATACAGCAAAGCTTGACAAGCAGTGTAGGATGATGGTCACATGGGAAACTCTGTGTCTTGGCTTCAAGGCCCCTGCGTTAAAGCCCAGTTTATGTTTACAGCATCACAGAAAACTCCAAGATTGCCCAGCTGTGAGCCCAGCCATGGATAAAGCCTGAAAGCTTCACAGATGTCACGTCAATGGGTCCCTTTATTGCTCCAGAAGTCTCTGGGATCCTAAATAGAGGAGCCTGGGCCAACCTCAAAGCTTTCCACAAACAGTCACTTTCCTCTTGGCCTGTAAGCTACCAGGGTAGCACAACATGATTCTGATGGGGAGGCCACATGGTGAAAGTCAGACGACAGAATAGAGAGAATTAATGAAAAGCACCAGAGACATGCCGAGTGGAGACAAAGGTGACCAGAGAAAACAACAGTAAATGTTCTTATTCTGGCGAGAATGTGAGGACTCGTTGGAAACATGATGAAAACCATGACTCCACATGCACACGTGTGCACTCTTCCTTTCTCATCCTTGCGTGCATACATGACAACATTAGGGGACTTGTGGGTGTCAGGTTTTAAACTCAGCTTTGATGTGACTATTTAGAAATCCCCTTGTTGAGCAATTCATACCTAAGAGCAACTGCAGAGAGACTTAACTAAATAAGAAATTCCAGTTTTGCAAAAGTTTTTGCATATGTTACTGCCGTCCATCCAACCATCCATCCATCCATCCATCCAACCATCCATCCATCCATCCATCTGTCCATCCATCCACTCAACATACTTGTCCCCTTACACTTGTTCTCAAATGTTTCCCCCAGGAAACCCCTAACCCAGAGGAGAACAAACTCCTCGGAGACCCTGAGGCGACTCCTCAAGACAAAAGCCCCAAATTTGTTTTTCATATTTAACTTAAAAGTTTATGCCAA